CCCTGAAACCCTGTATACCAGTTTTACATCTTGACATGATACCCAATTGTGTAACGACTTTTTGAAAGTATTGAATATGATTCAATAACGACTTTCTATTTTGAAAATACCCCATATAATGAATTCATTTAACTCTGGATGTGTAGCAATGACAACAAGGAAACTCTTTAACTATTTCTCTCCTGATCGACGATATGTTTAATTTTATAAACTTGACTTTGTGTTTGTATAAAAAGAACATGCATTTCCCTTTAATTCTATACCAAAAACAACATTTTCTGATAACATACAACAAAGCTATTGAAGCCCAATCATAACAGGGGGAGTGAAATAGTCATGAGCAAAATGAATTCCTTCCAAAACGTGGAAAAATAATTACGGAGAGAAAGAGTTAATTTTAAATATTGGTAAATATTTCCTTTTTTTAAACAGCTTTAAGAAATCATTCTGCATCAAAGTATTTTTGTTGTGAAATTGAACCCTGTTGAAGACAACAAACAGGTTTGGTGATGGTCTGGGATGAAAGGAACGTGTTAGATAAATCAAAGATAAACCACCTCATACATGGACACTCCAAGTTGTATAGAGTGCCCTAGAAAGCTATCCATTGAAGTCATCACACATTGGATGTCCCACAGATGACATACTTTAGTTATGCGCAGTATCTAGGCTCTAGAGACTATTTAGAATTTCTTCTTGGCTGTCAACTATTCAAAGTTTGAGTGCCACTGGGGAAGATAACAGATGGCGATGAAAGTCGTACAAATAATGATCAGTAATGTTTGCGGTACAAAGTGGGAAAGGGATTTAACTCTAGTTGGTCTTAAATGACAAGATCTTTCAAAGAGATCCACAACTGAATAGAAAGCTACCCCATTACTTATGTGTGTTTACAGTCCCAAGTCTAAATCCATGTGTATCTCTTCGAGTGCTCATTATGTTTTAAAATATTGATTTGAATTTTATAGTGCAATAAATTTACAAAGCTATTGCAAGATTTGTAATACAAATATACAGATACCAGTAAAGACTCGGACGAAATCAACCAGACTGGCTCAACGTCCGAATGAAACTTTTCTTTCACTTCTATTTAATAATTTAATTAATAACTTCCATATAATTATTACTTGTTCATATTGTCTTATAACTGAGGAGATAGAAATTTAGATCTAGAAGGTTAGGGACTAACAGTTCACATCCTGTCGCCAGATATCAGGGCGCCAAGTTGGACGACAGACAATCGGAACAAGTACTTTGTATCATTTTAATATTTATGGCGCACCCAAAGTCAATTGAGAGGTAGAAAATCGGCGCCCCGCAGCACTAAAAAGAAAAATAGAACACAAGAGATAAATTTAGTATCTAACGCTAATAGGATGTGATAACATCAATTTAAAGATACTGTTGTAGTCGACTACTATCAAAGTAATACTAAAACTAAGTAGCACTCTTGTTCAGTCCTTCCCGTTCAGCAATAGATCTGACTAGCAGACGTCAGTGGGTCATTGATCGTCCTTGACCGATGAATTGTGCGGTTGTGTAACTTTTTTTTTTTGCGTGTAACCCCCAATAAAAATTATTTCTTTACAAGGTCAGGGAAGTCCAGTGGTTAATGATTTTGGCGTCCGAGCTATTGCTAGTGAATGGGAGTTGGGAAAGGTATTCGGGGAGTAGGAGAGAGAAATGAATCTGCCAAGCACTCCCTGACTCCCCCTGGCAGCAGAAGTGGTCGATCGTATTTAGACTATTGAGATCGATTAGTCTGAACTGACTGGAAAGTCAGGTCAGCAGAAGATAATGGTTTCCAAATATTTGTGCTCAAGAGCGGAAGTTGAAGATCTTGTTGGTTTCTTGACAAAAATATTGAATATTGTAAATCATTGTGCCATAGTAATACATTTAATTAAAACTCTTGGCGGAAAAACATCAAACAGAAACGTTATATTGTAAACAACAAGTTTCCAATATTTGATTTTATAAGATTTGCAGGTGTCCGGCAAAAGGAGGTCGTGTCCAGCAGGCAAAGTGCCGAAGTGTTTAAATATCTGGCTGTCATTCTGTTGTCTAATGCTATGGCATACTCACAGACTCTTACAAAGACCGCACCACAAATGAAGATATTAAAAACAGGATTAATGCAGAGATTGGACCCCTCGATGTCAAAAAATGCCTGCTATGTGGCCATATCACAAGGTCCTCAGGGCTTGCAAAGACCTTCCTCCAGGGAACAGTACCAGGAAAAAGAAGAAGCAGACAAGAGAAAGCGATGTGAAAGTGTTGTGCATTTAGGTGTCTGGTAACCCTAACGACGTTAGGTGCAAAGAAAACAGAAATGAAATTTAGACCAAACGTACGCTTCTCTATGATCACACAAGAGATTAATGAAAATAATTATTTATTAAACTTACTCTTAAAATAATAATACAAAAAAACTCCTGGATTCATAGACGTTTTAGAATTATTATTTTTTTTTATGTTGATATACGCTAGGGCTAGGCCTAGGCCAGCAACAATTTAGGCATGATTAAAGTGTAAGGGAGACAATTCAATAAACACTAATGACTAATAGTTTGTCAATGACTTATTTCCCTTATAAAGTAAACCAATTACTAACAAAAAACGTTTTAGAAATCCATTCTAAAAACAAATTGGGGGAGGGGGAAGAAAGAGAAAGAATTATATCTAAAGACGATGTGTAATGTAAGGGAAACAGCTTAATAATCGCTAATGACTTATAGTTTGTTATTTCCCTTCTATACAAAGGGTGAGGGAAAGAAGGAGAATTTAGACTATTGTGATTTAATAGAATGTATATTTTGTTCTGCACTAGGAGGACACTGTATAAGCAAGCAGCAGGCAATAGGATGTGGATGTAAACATAACACACCTTCACATTGTGACACTAGGGGGGAAATAAGTTAGATATTGTCTGGATACACAGAGGGGGTTGATGATTTCATTGGTCCAAACAAAAGGAAATTCACTTTTTGACTACGTTCAGCATCACTACTGTAACAGTTACAATATAGACGCAAACACCAACACCATTCACACACACAAACATATGGCCAGCGCTTTATGAATTAGGTAATGCAAGTTAAAGTCTCTGCAGAGATTCATGACTTTTTTCTCCATGCAGGAACGGAATAGACTTAATAGACCAATCCTTAGAGGCGAGGTGGCTGAGCAGTAAAGCGTTGGCTTCCGAACCAGGGGTCCTGGGTTCGAGACTGGGATTTTTAATTTCGGCATCTCTGGGCGCCTGTGAGTCCAGCTAGAACAAAATTCATAGAAGTGCTCCTTCTCTAATGCCATTATAGACTGGAATGGGTTGCCCGAATCAGCCATAAAAGCCAACGATTTGTCGGAGTTGAAATCACTGATTAACATGCACAAGATTGACTCATGCGTAGGACGTAATTATCTTCTCTTTTGAAGTTACGTCTGCAATCTATCCCTAGAAATGAGTTGCTGTTTTTTTTATACATGCATTGAGAAAAATTCTTTGTGAATGACCAAGAAACCTAAAAAGATAATTGCTTAGAGCAAAATGTAGATGTCACTCTGAACAGTGGCATCTGAAGAGTTGAGTGTATTGAGTTTTGTGTCGTGACAGCAAGATGTCAAATGTCTCAGGTCGTGTGTTTTATATCAATATTGTTGATTTATGGGGAAGAACTCCGCACTTAATATCTCTCTATATTGTAGAAGCTATTTCCCTTATTCAATATTTTTAAAAAAAATTACAAGTAATAAATAATTGACTGGTTTTTTTTTTTAATTGATTCATATTTTGTTAGGTACAATATATAAGTACTCTTAAGTTTCAACTTGATCTGAGATTGGATGTGGGAGAAATAACGTAGAAATTGTGTACCAGACAGACAAACAGCGTGAGTTGATACAAGCTTTGTAAAAATAATTTTTATGTTCAATTATATTTTTCTAACTGAATTTATGTGATTTTGTTTCTCAAAATATGTTCATATTTTAATTTAGGAAAAACAAAGACCATATTGCAGAAATTCAGATAAATAACCAACCCATAGAACAAGTACAAGAATATAAATATCTAGGTACAACTATCAACAACTAACCGGAATAAAGTTTATGCTGTCAAAACATATACAAGAAAATTCACCAGCGACTCTTCTATCTCAGAAAGCTAAGAAAATTTAACATAGACAAAACAATAACCAAACTTTTCTACACAGCAACTATCAGCAGTCTAATCAACTTTCCCATCACCTGCTGGTATGGTAATACTTCACTGGCACAAAGACATAGACTAATTAAAAAAGCATCGTATATCACTCGAACACAGCTACCATCTCTTGGAGAGCTTTTTCAGGAAAGATGCCTTTCCAAAACACGATTCTTAAAGACAACCTGCCCCCAATAGACCACTGTTACATCAGATCTGAACGAAGTGGTCGTCTCCTTTCCATTAGGACTACAACAGAAAGATTTAAAAACTCCTTTACTTCACTATCGGTCAGAGTGTTACAAGATCAGCTGTCGTCATCAAGAAGTACATAGAAGTCAAACTCATAAAGCGCTGGTTGTGAGTGTGTATGTGTTTCGTGTGTGAATGTTGTTCGTATTTGCATCTACATTGTTTTTGTAAAGTAGTTACGCTGAGGTTGTCAATGGTAGTCCAACTGAATTTCCATTTGATTGGATCAATAAAATTATCTTAATTTTCTTTGTACAAAGCTTTTAACCACAATTCAACAATTCTGGTTGGGCTTACTGATCAAAAGTGGTACACACTGTATTGTTGAACCGATGGTCCACTGCCATCCCCAGTTGTCCTGCAACAGGTATGGGCTAGGATGTAATATCTTCAAATGTAAAGGATCATTCGAAACATATAAAACAAACTGCCCTGATATCCTTAGTACTTATCTCCCCTTGCTAAACTGACTGAGAACTGACCCCATGATGCATTTCCAGGTACAGTAAAAGTACAGGACAAGAACAAAACAAGTGACAATGAACTTGTTCAACATGCTTTTATTAAGTTCATGATGACATTATGGGGGAATGAGAACAACCAAAAGATTTGTCTAAGTGATTACATGGCTCTGATCACAAACAGGTCAAGTGACCCACAAACACTTCAGGTGACCACAAAAAGGTCAGGTGACAGTGAAATAGTGGGGGGATGGGGAGGGGGTAGGGTTGTAACAAGGATGGAATTATGGCACAGTGTTATTATGAAAACAATAATGATTAAAGTTGAAAAACAAAAATTTACTGAAAAAAAAAAATGAGTCTTTTATTCAAACATGTTTCCACCTCATTCAAAGCTCATTAAAAATGTTCAAATGTTTTAGTGAAAAGTGACAAGGAAGCAGGCGGGAGGAGACAATGAAATCTCTCACTACACATCTAGACCAGTTTTAAAATGGGAAAAATGTTTGTGGTTATTAGAAAAAAAAAAAAGTTTTCACTTTACATAATATAGCAACCAATTCGACTTTTTTAAATAAAAAAAAGTTAAACAAAAAACAAACTATTATGTATTTCAAAGCTGCAAAGGTTAACTATAAAACATATTTAAATACATTGCATAGGAATGATACATTGCAACTTGTATTCCTTGTGGTAGCATTAAAACATGCTCTTGTTGATACTACCAACAATAACAGAATGAGCAGTTCTTAAGTTGGTCACTTACAGAAAACTAACATTGAAGGTGCTTCATAAGACTAACACAACTTAAAGCAAAGATAAAGGAATGATATTCAAACCATTTAGACCAACCCTGCACCCAGACACTCTTGTACAAGCACACACATTTATTTCAACTTATGATCTTAATAACTTCATTGGACAAGCTTGAGAAATCAACTTCAGCCAAAATTGCTGAAAATTTTTGTGAAAATTATAATGCAATCTATTACTGTGATTAGCAAAGTCGGGACAATTTAGAGTTATAAACATGAAGAAATTAACAAAACAAATTTGTAACAAAACTTCAAGAGCTTAGGAGAAGAAACATCACAAGGTTGGATTCTCAGGGGGAAACATTGCCAGTGTTAAGACTACAATAAGGTTACACAAAAAGTGACAAAGTGGTTGTTGGTAAAAGAAAATATTTGTATCTCTTAAATATTATGAGGGTACAACTTTTTTTGCAACCAAAGCTCCATTATCTCTTGAAAACCATTTCAGACAAATGTAAAAAGAACAGGAATCAAAGTGCAACATGGGATACACATGATGTCTGTACTGGTCTCACAAAGTCAGTGTAATACTGTATCACCAAACTTATTCATACAATATACTGGAGGACACTGGAGATAAATACATAGATGAAACACTTATACTGTATCATTAAACTTAAAGGCAAACTAAAAAATCTGAGGCCCAAACAAAAAAAAAAAAAGAAAAGAAACAAAATTCCACAATGAAGTTATTAGTTGTTTTTTTAAGTATCCATATAATAGCAATAATTATATGCCCAGAATAAAAATCTTAAAAGTTTCCCTTTGTGATCTATAGGGCAGAAGATGTTAAGTTCATCAATGTCTTTGGTCAAGACAACGACCAACCGCCTTTACTTTCCCAAACTTAAGTCAAATACCCATTAATGTTGGGTGAACTCAGGGGCGCCCTAAAAATCACAAAATTCAAAATCCCAGTTTTCCCCTACATTCAACCCCAGCATTCCAGGTTCGGAAGCTAAGCCCTTAACATCATCTGCCCCATAGATCACATGGTGTGAAAGGGAAACATTTGAATAAAAATCTGCATGTCAACAAAGATATTTAGATTTAAACTAAAACATTTTATCCAAGGTTCTACAGATAATGAACCAATGAAAAAAAAAACAACATCAAAAATTAAAGCTTAAATTAATCTGCCAATAATATAAATTATACATATAAATATTTTATTTTAAATTATCAATTTATTTATTTATATTATGAATTATATTACTTTACTTTCATTATTAATATATTTACTATATATATTTATTTACGAATGCATGCAACAAATTACTGTATGAAGTGGATGTGAAATATTTGCACAGCATAAAAAGCTGTTGTTTAGAAAAGTAAAAAAAAAAATGACTCAAATATTTGTAGAAGAGCTGAAGAGTTTAAAGTTTATAAATACAAATGCTTAGTCCTTGAACTAATAAGGAAGAAAGAGAGTAAACAATGTGTGTTCAATTCCTGCGAGAGAGTGATGCGACAAAGACTACACCAAGAATATCACAAAGACATTTGTTAGGCAGCCCAGATCAGACAGCATTTAACATTTGAACATGAAACTCCCATTTATTCCATCACAACCATGGACCTACAGTTAAATATTTACATAGACCAATGTTCACAGTTACTGATCAAATCACTTGTTAGAATCAGAGTGTGTGGGAATAGAAAGTCATAATACAGAGGGCTAAAGAAGCTAACAAAGCTAATGCAAGCAGAATAAAACTAATCCATTGAAATTATAGACATAAGCTATATATAATGCAACCTGTTTATTTTTTGTTGGCACGTCATAACATGAACAAATCGAACTAGTCAAATGTATACATAACTTACATACAAACTGACATGAGAATATATTTCATCATCATTATGTCACTTTATATTATTGCTTGGACTTGATTAACTCTACTTAAAAGTTTGAGATATTCTTTTTGAAATAAAGATTATTATGCCTACCATGTTGTCTGCAGGGCAGCAGAGGAATGATCAAACTTTTGAAACTAGATAAACAGTTCTAAATAGAAACCATTCTCATTAAAACTGACATATTACTATCACACCACATAGCTAGGTATTGCAGCAAGATGAAATTGTTGACAGCAATTGTTCATTATGCCACTATGCTAGCTATGTATCATTTGTTCATATATCACCTCACTTGTTTGCATATCGCTGAAACAGAAGTCAAAGCTCCAAAAATATTACTGAAACAGAAGTCAAAGCTCCAAAAATAAACAAACAAATGTGTGATCTAAACAAGTGGCCACAAGCAATGCAAATAAATAGCATCAGCTTAAATTCTCAATATTCACAGTCATTCTTTCCTAGCATCTTTGTTCTGGGTTTTAAATATATGTGCCATGAATTCGGTAATAGTTCTCTAGATGTCCCTGTTGGAATCAAATTGCCACTAGGTTTTCCTAGTAAGAGTAAAGTGATATATGAGCGATAAATGTTGAAATAGTCTTTAATGGATGTTAACTCCTTGACGTCTTGGCACTAACAATGTCAATAAAAAAAAGTGTACAAGCTCTGAGCATGGATTCTATGGTGCACTTAAATGTTTGTTTCCACAAAAGCTCAGTTGTGGTGGGGAAAAAAAATATCAAAGAACTAAAAACATTCAGGAGCAGCTGCCTTATTTGAATCAATGGAAACAAAGACACAATGTTACGAGACTACCAAACTAGGTGAACAAACTAAATTAGAGTTTAAAAACCAAAAAAGAAATTTTCTAGCTTAAAAAAAATACACAATTGTTTGCTACAGTATTTTCAACATATTATGTGTAGCAACAATGACAAGATGTCCTCAAACTATGCAGCACATGAAGTCATAGTGCCTAGGTGAAAAAAAAAAAATTAACAGAAGGAATGATAACTTTATGGTAAACTAATATTGTGACCTCACAAACAAACTAGTCTATTTACACAATTCAATTCAATACATATATATATATATTACCATAGTTGAAAAAACTGAGCAAAAAAAATCACTAAAATTTAACCAAAGAAACAGACTAGCTGTACAGTTCATTGATTGACATAATCAAAAGTTACAAAGGCAGATAAAACAGATAAAAGGGAAATGCAACGTTCTGAAATCGAGGAACAGATGACTGGATAGATATAAGAAGAAAGCAAGTCTATCAACACTACACAACTTGATACATTTATTTCAAGAGATCAGTGTTCATTAGAAAAAAAAAATTAGCTATAATTAGTTTTTTTACAGATACAAAACTAGAAAGATCACATAAAAAAACAACAATGAGCAGGGATTAAGTCAAATAATGTCAGGACATGGAATGATGAGTTTGACAAAAAAAAAAAAGAATTTTTAATGTGTTGTGAAAAACCAATCTGATGTGAAAAAAAAATATACACATATGCATAATATTAATACCAAGAAAATTGTGGTTGATCTAGAAATACTTAACAGGAAAGACTAGGAAAGCATTCTCTCTCTTTCTTGACCATTCTACAATAAGGCTTTCATTAATAGCATGAAAAAAACAACATTAAGTAACGAGAAGCACTTGTATATAAATTTTATCTTTATGTCCAAAGAAGGAATCTGAAAGCACTACAAAGAAACAATCACAGCACTAAAGTGTTCTATTAGACGAGTTCTCCACTTCTACAGTATCACACAACTCTCAGCAGGGGAATAACAATTTCCCCTCCACAAAAATATCTATTAGGAGAATTTTAAAAATATATCAGTTGTTAAGACAACTATGTATCACTAAGGGGTTATGACTTTAGTAAGGTACTACTGACAGTGCTTTGCTTGCTCATTATTAATTCTCTAAATTTAATAAAAACATCAATGCACATATTACTCGACCTCTTGACATTTTCCTCAAAGTACTTGCCTCTAAACCAGTGATGCCCCAAATCCGGCCCATTGAAATGTCGGCACAAAGTGTAGTTAATCACCCTCCAAAAAAAAAAAAAAAAAAAGGATGAAAGATGTATCTTTACCTATGTTAGGTAGGGCCCTCATTCTTTCTCTAATGGATTTAACATATGAGTGTTAATGAAATGGAACTCTGAATGTAGTTTCTACCAGGAAAATTGAACAAATATTTACTTGTTTGTGAAACATGATACTATGCCAACTTGTTTGTTCCATAAGAAAGGCGTGGCTGTTTAAAAAAAACAATATATAAATGGCATTATGAAACAAAGATAGGGGCATTATTGATTTGAGTCACAAATAAAAGATTGTTAAACTTCAGGTACTAGACCCACAGGTTTCTAATCAGGTTAATTTTATTTCATTTTTGTATCTTTTTGTGACCCACAACACAAGTGTTTTTAAATTAAAATGGCCCGCAGGCCGAGTAGGGTTGGGCATCACTGATCCAAACTAGCACCCACAAAAAGCATTATCTTCAGTCAAGACAAAAGCATTCTTTGACCCTGGTAACATTGAGATAGAAGAGTGTTGGACTGAAATTTGAATTTATAAATGGTGAATGTGTCACAACACAATCAAAGACTGCATTAGGATTCGCAAAAATTTCCTTTTTCATAAACAACAGCTTTAAGTGTATAGATACAATTTCCACCCACTTATATAACATACAACAATTTATGCTTATCTGCTGCATTACAATGAAAATATGCGTAATTGTAGTGTTATTGTGGTTACCACAGTGAAAAGGTCAAAACGACCCAGTTAAGAGACTATAGAGATTAAGTTCACGAGACACTCCTAAAAAATGTACTAAAATAAGCTTTACCAGAGTCGAGTCAATTCAAATGAGAATCCATTTTTCTGTGCACAGTATAAGTGAAGGCACACTTTTAAAACTGTAGACCTAGCTAAAATCAGTTTTATCATGTTATAGTAAAGCTTGGCCATTATTTAATAAACAAGCTTGTTCCAAGCGCTCTTCTAATGATACATTGTTTCTATTTCATAGTTTTTGCTTTCACAGTCATATAATTGTTTCTATTGAACTACAGCAGGCAAGCATTACTAAGCTGTTCATTTCTATTGGTGTGGGAGGGGCCAATGTGAGTAAAATACATTTCAAAAGAAACAACAATTATGTACAGAAATACAAATGATTTCACATTGTTTAAATTATATCCAACAGAGCTAGGTAATATTTAATGATGTCTGGTCACCTCTCTGAGGGGAGAGGGTTATTAGCCACAAATTGAAAAGGTTCATTCATCACTGCTGTTATGGGGCATTTCTGCATAGTGAACTGGGAAGATCTCTTCTTGTCAAGTGAAACAGTCTGAGAGTCACACTAAACATTTAAACCGAAAGATATTGCTCTGGTGCAAGGAAATCAACAATGTTTATGTAACCTCAAAATTAGTGATTAAAATAAAAACGAAACAATATTTAACAGCAACTATGCATGTAGTTGCCATTTCGTTAGCACAATTTTTAAGTAGCCTTGAATGACTCAAGTGTCAAGATAATAAACAAAATGAAAACAAAAGGCTTTTTAAAAAAAAAAACAACAACATATATTTATCTATAAACCCAGCTAACTTTAGGAGCAAAAGATGAAATGAATGGAATGGTATAAGTCTGTACAGTCTTTCACTAAACACAAAAGGAATGCAGAGAGCAGCAAACAATGGATGCAGCCCATAGACAGCAGAATGTCCCAAATCAAGGGGAAAAAAAAAAGACTGGAAGTTGAAAAAAGTTAGGTAGA